CCTACACCAACATTTAACTGAGAGAGGAAAATAAAGTATAAGAATTGTATTAATTCATTTATAATGTTGAATCTGGGATGAAGAGACTCCTCCTCCCCCCACTTTTCTCATTGTCACCATTTAACTTTGCCCTAGGTGCCTTTCGTTACCTTTTGTTCCATTCTGGAGAAAATTGTGCCAATTTCTAAACCATTAGAACGTGCAGGTGAGATCCAGCACAGAGTAGTTTGCTTTAATGTTTCCTGTTTTAATGCACAATATTTACAATTCCTCAATTCCTAATCATTAGGATAAAAAATATTGGCCCAAATCAGCAGAGACCTAAAGAACCTTTGATTAAGTTCCTACTAGAAAAGATAAGCCCTTTTGATAAATGGATGATGCTAAGATGATACTGAAGTGTCACAGTACCTTTTATATCTCATAAAAGTAGAACTTTCCGGAAGAGAACACTGTGTTAACTAGCACAGCCTTAGGAATTGCCTATTGTATCAGCCTATGGGCATCTCTAATCATCTGCAGCTCTTGGGCAAATCTTATGAATTTTATAGAATCATTGTTAAATTCGTTGTTTATATTTCAAACAATGTTGACTCAGGGCAAGTTGACTGAATTTGACAAACTAGCAGGGGCAGGTAGCAATATGGAAAACATAATTCATGTTTGAGATGAAAAATCAGAATAGATTACATGGAGGATACTTCCCACCCACTTCACTTTCTGTCTCTCAGATCCCCATCAGTGCAAATAAAAGGGAAAAAGCAATGTGTTAAAACAAAGACTTCACATAACTAGTCACAGCCATAACTTGGTTATCCTAAATTACCTGGCCAGCTGACATTTCTTTATTCTTCTCTTACATTTGTTCCAACTAGAGTTCCTATATTCTGTACCTATTATTTTCTAATGTCTAGTCAGGAAACTCCTCCAATTCTCAATGGTGGTTTAACCCCAAATGAAAAACCACACACTATTTTTGGTGGTAATGCAGACACAAAAGGGTTATTTAAGAGGGAGAAGGACACAAGAATCAATGTCATAGGGTGAAAAGCAGACTAACAGAAGACAGGGTCAAAAATGGTGAGAGGAATCTATTGTCTTCAGGCACATGAAGGATTAAAGAAAGATAAATATATTTACTCTAAAGAATAAAATTATTTCTTCCTGGGCATCTATGCAAATCACAAGTGCTCTATGAATAATAATCTTTTATCCTAATTCAAAGGTAGACACAGTCAAGTCAAAAGTAGAGAAAGCAAAGACAGTTGTTCGTAAAATGTTTCTATTTACCTGGAATCTGAAGCTCATCTTCAATAAATCGAACGTAATTTTGTGCGTTAACTGGCAGCTCTTTAAACGTCCTTGCATTTGATATGTCTGTGTTCCATCCTGGAAGAGTCTTATATTGAACTTCAACTTTATTTAAGATCTCTTGGTTTGCTGAAAGTTAAAGAGCAAGTATATCAGTTCATGCTGAACACTGCCTATTGTCCAACAACTTTTTGGTATCTCATAGGTTCACAATCAATCTCTTATTAAAATCGCTGAAGCCAGATGCGTTTTGTAATTAGAAGTTTTTCAGAGTTTAGAAAGGAAAAACAGTGCATATGGGGTAGGGTTTTATAATCAAGCATATTTCTACAGCAACAAAGGATTATGCACTGTAAACAGATGGATTATTAGTTTCAATTCCATGATCTGTGGAATGTCCACAGGCTCCCAGAGAGAAGGCTACCCTTGTTCTCATCTGGGAAATCTCTTGCTTCTGTGACTGTGTGCCAAAGCTTCGGTGGAACCTCCTTCATTCGTCTCACCAAACCATTGTCTCTGCATCCCCTGGAGAGACTGAAACGGGACTAACGCCAGACCAGCTCTTTTGACCAGAGGTCGTGTGGTGGATGCCAAACTCTGTTCAGATTCCCCCTTCAGGACTGACACACGCATCCCCTCAGCTGTGGGAATATTGCCTGCGCACAGCTCCCTGGTCAGGATGTCCCCTGGGATGCCTTCTACCGAAGCGAGCTGCCCGTCTGGAGCAGCACACCTCCCAATGGCTTCCTATGCAAGGATGTCAAGGACCAGGCCACTTACCTTATTTTGGGAAAACTCCGAACCGTCATCCATGGGACCAGCTGAGGGCTTTTTATGTAACTACCTTGCAGTTCAACTTCGCCCTCTGCCTAAGCCTGCTTCTCTCTCTCTCCCAGACGTTGCTGCTCAGAGCACTTACGAACACACCACCCGCACGCAAATCTCTATATCAAGTCTGTTTCCCAAGGAATGCAATGTGTGAGGAAGAAGGCTCTAAAATGGGGTCTGGAGCTGGAGCGTGGCCACTTGCTGGCAGGGGGCCCATCAGTGGTGGCAGGCAGAGACGGGTAGTCTCTGGCATGTTGCAGTTATTGACTTTCATAGGAGGTGACTTGGGATGCCCTACTGGGGCACAGTACAGCGCTGGCAGGACCTGAAGCATTGAGAAATAAGCAAATGGGAACAGTGGATCGGATGGCTCTCGATGAACGCCAGTCATGAACTGGAGAAAGACGATGAAAGATTTAGTCTTTCATCAGCTTCAGGCAAGTGTGAAAGGCAGGACCTCGTGGGCAGCAGATTGTAAAGAGAATCTCATCTCCTACAGCAGAGGGCAGGAGAGCTGAGGCTCAGGCTCGGGCTCCGTCACACAGACAGAGTTCCAGAGAAAGGTGAGTTCTCCAACCCAGCAAACCTGCTGCGACAGGCCAGGGCCCTGTTTGGGGAAAAGTGGGACCCTGAGACTTTGGATGGGACACCGGAGCTGATGCACGGAGAAACCCTGAGTCCCTAGACTTGCTGGTGGCCTGCAGAATGGCCTACTACTTCTTGGGCTCTTCACATAACTGCACTAACAAAGCATAAAACCAGCCTAAATAAGGTCCAGATGACCAGCCAGTAATTTAATTGTCGCCTAAAACAAGAAGCAATACTCTTCAGAGGAAGATCACAGAATCTGAGTCTCTCAAATATATTCAGACATAGAAACAGTGATTCAGAATCAAGGGAAAGAATAGCCAAGAGAAACGAAACTATAGATGGCCCAGAGGTCAGACTAATAGACGATGACTTTACACGTTTCTAAGAACTTGCAGCTATCCTCAATTCCCACTGACTGGCCATTAGCAAGTCACAAAACCTACCAGCCCACCAAGCTTCACTGAGCTAGTCAACATTCCTTCATTTGGCATATCCCCAGTCTTATAGGATGGCTAAACAAATTAACAGTTCCTACTTCCGGAAGCTGGAAACATTTGCAGAGCTTCCTGAGTAACTGAAGAAATCATTTAACTAAAGGTATGTCAGAAAAAACACATTTCCTCAAGTAGGAAGTCTCCCTACATCCATCTACTTTAGACACAGATTAGAGGTTAGAGAAAATCATTTACGTGGCTTGAAGGACAAGGTGGGTTAATGTATTAAGGACCGGGCTATCCAGACAAGCAGGGCTCTTTTCTTCGACCCCAGATTTCATAAGGGACGGAGGAATGCCTACATAGATTAAGAAAGGTGAGATTCAGGAACAGCATAGCTGGGCTCAGAAATAACATGTTTCTTTCTTCATAATGCATAGCAACTATGAACAAATGCCAATAATAAGTGAATACACTTGCACTGTTCACAAGGGCATAATAACCATGTGGCTATATATCACAAATTATACAGAAAAGCTTTATGAAATTGCTCTACTATATTTACCTAAAAATATTATTTATACACAGCCTTAAAAATATACCTGGGAAATGAGGTATAATTTCACCATCTAACTTGTAAGCAACTCCAACTTTAATTTCTGTAAACGTGTCCAAAATATCCAATTTGGTAAGTGCCAACCTAATTTTGGAAGAAAAGACAATGTTAAAACAGCAAATTCTGAAAGGCTCTAACATCTAACATGATGAGGGAGTAAAGGAAAATTCATACAAAGCTAAAAAGCTCCACCCAGCCAGCGTGGCTCAGTGGTTGAGCGTCCACCCATGAACCAGAAGGTCAGGGTTTGATTCCCAGACAGGGCACATGCCCGGGTTGCAGGCTCAATCCTCAGTGTGGAAGAAATATGCAAGAGGCAGCCAATCAATGATTCTTTCATCATTGATGTTTCTATCTCTCTCTTCCTCTCTGAAATTAACAAAAACATATATTTTTTTAAAAAGCTAAAAGCTCCAAAGCAATTTTGAAAACTGATTAGGAATTTGTTTTAAAGCATGATACACATAAAACACAACAGGACAACATACTAATGAATTCTCCTCATAATAAAAAAATGACTTAATCTACTAGCAAGTTACTCTTCTAATAATGAAAATGGATTTTCTGATTGACCCACACCCTCTTGTTTAACTTTCTTATGATCAACACATATTTGTGGGCTGGCTGCCTGCGGTACGGGACACATTCTGTGGTCGTGGCACAGCAGAACTCTGTTCCACAGGGGTGACCACAAGATGCATGCATAGTCACACCTATGCCAGCAACCCTCATCTCCTCACTCTGGGCACAGTCCCCTCCACCCCTCCGGTCAGATACTGTGAATGGAGACTGAGGAAAACACGCCAAGGACTCTTCGTGATACATCAACATCCCCCCGAAAATGACTGGAAAACAGAGCTTTAAGGGGAAACTTGTGGAAATTAGATACAACACTAGGTTTGGGCAGGCAATACTATTATCTAGATGATTAAAAAGAAAAAAAGGCACAGAAGGAATAACGTGCCCAAGGTCACACAGCACAACGCACAGATCTGAGGTTTAAATCCAAAAGTCAGACGTCAATCAGGCCCATGGACAACATCACTGTTGTTGTACGTCCTCCGCTATGTATATGCTCCACCCTTCAACTCCTTATCTATCTACTCACCTGCCCACCTGAACTTCCCTCTAGACCAGTGTTGGCGAACCTTTTGAGCTTGGCGTGTCAGCATTTTGAAAAACCCTAACTTAACTCTGGTGCCGTGTCACATATAGAAATTTTTTGATATTTGCAACGATAGTAAGACAAAGACTTATATTTTTGATATTTATTTTATATATTTAAATGCCATTTACCAAAGAAAAATCAACCAAAAAAATGAGTTTGTGTCACAGGTTCGCCATCACTGCTCTATACTCATACACATGTAAGGGTATTATGATTCCTTCCTTCCAACCTTGGACGTCTAGAGGATCACCTGGGGTTCCTCTCCTTGCTTCCCTTCTCCTATATGTTGGTCCACTTCTAACTTGAACTAAAATTTCAGAGGTTAAAGAGAGAATTTTTTGTATTGGGGTACTGCCTCGAGCTTGCATTTCAAAAATGTAAACTGTGGTCATGAATTATCCTATTATTTCCTGAAATAAATGTTTCTAAAAAAACTCACGCAGTAAATCCGTTAATCATATGAGCATATTTAAGCAAAACGAGGTCCAACCAGCCACATCTTCTTTTCCTTCCAGTAGTCACACCGAACTCTCCACCTCTTGTCTGTAATAATTCTCCAACTTCCTAGGGGACAGAAAATAGAACTTTATAATTAGGATACCAATGCTGTCGATCTAGAACAAGTCTACTTAAGGTCATGTAACAACAAGTTAGAGTTTCTTTGAGATAAATATTTTCCAGAAAATAACTAAGTTGAAGATAGAATTCTATAGAGATGATGGATTTTATGTGAAGGAGGCATTATTTGGAATAGATCCAATTTTGGCTTCATTTTTCACCTTATTTTAAAACCAATATTTTTTTATGATGTCAGATAGATCACTTCCCCAAATTTAGGTTGATATATAAAAAGTATAAATGCTGCATATTAAAAACTAAGTTGTTATCTTAAAACAAACAAGCCAATTGTCTGAAGAACAACTATAGCTTCATGATTTTCCTGAAAACCCTAAGGCAAACTTGCAATAAGTACTTGTTGATATCACAATGCTCTTTTGAAGAGAATTAAGGTTGGAAACAATGCTCAAAGATCTAGGTTACACTTCCTACAACCTACTTTTCCCATCTCTGATCTATCTACTCCATAATTTACACTTTTCTGATTAAAGCCATCATGTCCTTACCTCTTATATTTTGACATTATTACAGTTACATATTTTAAAAATTTTTGCTCTGTCATGTTTGATTCCCAGCCCTGTTTGTGTGGCCTAAGGCAAGTAACTTTAGTTCTCTGTGCCTCAGTTTCCTACTGTGTACAGTGGGGAAGGAGCTGTTGTGAGGACCAAAGGGCTCATAGGTATAGGACACTTACACAGTGTCACCCCCATGCGAGTGTTGGCTATGAGCAGACAATGTCCAGAGATCACTTTCCTCACCCTTATCTCCTAATGAGCTTTTGGTGAAAGGCAGTTGTCATTTTTAACAACTTCCTCCGCCTCCACTATCTCAATGCCCTTCATAAACCCGCCTTCCTTCAGCCTTGCAATGACAATGACCTTTAAGTACCTCTAATAATCCCTCCTTTTTTGCTGCCACTAACAATAAACGTGTGCATACATTTTTTATAATGTTGCTCTGATCAGTCTTGCAAATTAAATGAAATGCATGGAAAATAAGAATTCATTAAGGGAAAAAGCATGAATTTTTCTTTTAAAACTTTCAGATTAGATTCCCTGAGAAAGAGGCTTACGTTGTCTTGCTCTGTAGGAAAGGCGCCGATACCAACTCTAGTTGTGTAAGCTTTCACAACCCCATACACTTCTCCAACATTCTGAGGGGGCATACCCAATCCAGTACAAACACCTCCAACTGTACAGTTTGAGGAGGTTACAAAAGGATAGGTTCCTAAAAATAGAAACAAATATTAAATATACACACACAGATACAAATTATTTCAAAACAGAATTACTATGACGATTCTGCACTGGATTATACTCTAGGTCTTTGACAGACCTGAATCTAATTGTAACCACCCTCCCCAAGCCTCAGTGGTTTGTTCCTGATTCCTCTGTTTGTGATGAGATAAGAGCATAGGTGGTCAGAGCTATGCCTGCTCAGCTCTGTAGGGTAGGTACTCACCTAATGGGCTGCTAAATAATGTAATGCCAAAACCCTGGTGTTAATCTCCCATGCAGACTTATAATCGATGTACTTGAACACTCTCCTGTTAGTTTAAAACAAATTTATTTTACTCCCTTTATTAAATAGGGTACAGCAGCAACCTGCAGTGACAACAGTATGCTAAAAACTGCATGGTATTTTAGCATTTTCCTACCTTTTGATGTCTATTCCAGGAATAATCCCAGAAATGACAAGAGTAAGCTAAGAGTGGTGTACCCCCACCCCAGATCCTGTTCATACTTAAAAACTATTCACTATGCTAATTAGACAGTCTGTTTTCTTTCCAGATTGGCTAGGCATATATATTAGGGTATCAAAAATGCCAATCTAATGCCCGGCTGGCGTGGCTCAGTAGTTGAGTGTTGACCTATGAACCAGGAGGTCATGGTTCCATTCCTGGTCAGGGCACATACCTGGGTTTCGGGCTCAACCTGGTGTGCAGGAGGCAGCCAATCAATGATTCTCTCTCATCGATATCTTTCTCTTTCTCTCTTCCTCTCTGAAAACACATATCCACTACATAGAAATGCACTTTCTTTAACTGGTTTACTTGGAGTCAAAAGCCAATGAAGGGTCAGTAAGAGCTGAGAACAATCAGACTTATCCTGAGTGATCATGTTTAGAAGGAAAGGCCAACTAATGGGGCAATAGTTTGAAGATGTTAAGTGTTAATTTTTTGAATATAGAGAAAATGTTCTAAATCCACTCAGTACCCCATACCCAGCGAGTTAATTAAGCAGACTTCATAGACTTTAGAATTTAATAACAATGTATATTAATCCCCGATATTGTTTTTAAAGCCTGAATTAAAGACAGAGATCCTTCCAAAGCATTCACCTGATCATCTCACAGTCCTACGGAAGTGAGCTCTAGAATTCAACCATGAACCAAATAATAAAATCACAGTTTACAGAATTTCAAACCTACTGACCCAATTAATTTGCTTTTTCTAATATATAACAAAACTTAATCTATGTATTGTGTTTTCCACAATAATCCTTACAAATAAAGATTAGTATAAGATGACAAACTTCCACTACTCCTGAATATGTATACAAGCTAACAGCCTTGTTTTAAAACCCCTTCATGCTAACATGAATTATTTATATCTTACGCACTTTAGGGCTCCGTCTAGCTCCCCCTGTCTTATCTCACTTACCAAAATCGATATCTAGAAGTGCCGCATTTGCACCTTCTACTAAGATTTTCTTTGGTGGTCCATGCAGGGCCTCATATAGAAAATACACTCCGTCTCTCACCATTGGTTTAATTCTTTCCATATAACCCTATACACAAAGACAAAAAACAATTTCAATGTATGCTAATAAGTGTACAATATAACCAATAGGAGTAAAAATCCCTGGACTTGACGACAGTGGAAACTGACAAATGCCAAGTAGAAAGGGGAAGGCGATGGTGCCCACGCTACTGCAGCACTGGGGCTACCAATGGTCTCCCATGCTGATTCCAAAAACCAGGAAAGAGATACTCGCTCAACAACAGCAGAGATACAATGACATTCACAGGTTAACCTCACTGCAAATAAGGTGACAGCCTTCCAAGTAGCCAAGTACTCACACTTCATAAACCAGCTTTCAAGAAAATGAAAAGAACTGAGTGTATTACAATTTTATACTTTGTGAAATATTTAATAATTTATGAGCCATATAACCCTGAGTTTTAAACCTTGCATCTCAAAATGTGATTCTCAAAATGTGATGAGGGCCACCAGCGACACTGCCAAGCATGCAAACATCAGTAATTGATTGCCAATGTTCTTCTTCCATTAGATTCAATTACAGGAAAATATCTCAGTGGTATTATTAGTAGACTACATCCAGTACTATTTTACACGTGAGCATTATAAAACTTTCTCAAAACATACTAAAGTTAATAATACTGCTTAATTTTAAAATTCCATTCAAAATATAGTATAAACAAGAGTTGCCCCACTGCCTAAACCTAGTTTCAACGATGTTTAAATATTTCGCCAGACTAGTATGGAGATTCCAACTTCCATTCATGAATTCACCGAAGTGTGCTCTACCCACTGATGAAACCATGGGCCCCTCTTGGCTCTAGTCTCCAATCTCACGCTTATTCCTATTTTAGTCCTTTTTTTGTGCCTAAAATGACCAACCCATCATCACATCCTTTGTTCCTTAAAGATCTGGTTCAACATCTATTACCTATTAAGAACCTTCTTACCCAATTCTGTTCATTATTATTCATCTATTTTTCATTCACATGGAATGTGTATAAAATAGAATTGAAAAGCCATATCCACACTTTAGTACATGAATATCTCCAAGTTGATAATATACATTTAAAATAATTGTTGCATGGCAGAATGAAAAGAAAATGGCAATCTATTCTAAGCAACCACCAATACACTGAAAAACAATTTAGATTGTTCCTTGGAGGTCTTTGATTTTTTTAGGAATTTAGTAAGGGGAGAGACGTAAGGTCTGCAACCGTTTTAGAATGGCACATGAGGTTGGCAAGCTTCTATTCAGTTCTGGAATGGATATTTATACTTACTTATAGAAGAGAAGGAATAACAATCAGATACATGGGAAGCAGCTTGAAATTCACCAAAAATTGTGGAGGAATGGAGGGGGGAGCGGATAGGAGACTTGACTACTGACTAATTCAGGCACCACGGACAACTAATAGCTGCCAACTGGCCCTAACCTTCGGCCAATGACCTTATTTGTCTCTGAAGAGATTGTCGCTGTCCGTTATCACTTCTAACTGAGCTGGTTAGCTTTCAGAGCTGTCTCACTTGTCCCTTTGTTCATTAGCCTCCACACGCTATGAGTGATTTTATATAATATAAATCTACTCTTTATTCAGCACAAAGTTATTCAGTAGTTTTTCATTCTCTCCAGAATAAAAGCTTATCTCCCATGTACGTCCTTGGCCAGAGCCACATAAGGCCAATATAAGACCCACGAGCTGGTCCCTACTTGTCTAACTTTATTTTCAGGTTGTTTACTCCTGTTCCCTGCTCCCCACTCACCATTTTGTTTCGTGTCATATGAGGTTATTCAAACACACCATTCCTCTTAGGCCTGCATGCTCTTAGATTTAAAGAGGACAAACACTTTGCTTTCCCAGTTCTTATCTATAATACTTCACACATACCTGTGTGGCACTTATCATACTATAAACTATTTTATGTATAACTTCGAAGTCTCCATATATTCTTTGTCCTTATACTTCCAGTTCCTAACACAAAGCTTGAATGACTGAAAGCTCTAGATGCCAATTTGGCAAACAAGTTTTTAAAAGGACATTAAAAAGGTCAGAAAGCATTACCTTGAGTTTTTGTAATTCACCTTCGATGTCTATTTCCAAAGTGGGGTATATAGATTTGTACTGGTTTGCTAGAACTTTGAACCTGAGAAATACAGAAAAATCAAGACATTAGCTCTCTTTCAAATATTCTGAGTAATATCATTTTATTAAAATGGTTTCTGTCAATGAGTGATCTAATAAATTAACCCACAAAATGAAGTTACATTCTGAAAAATAAAGTCTAATAAAGGAGATTAGTCATATGAATAAGTGATACACTGAAAATATTTTTTACTCAAGTTTAGGTATATGTAGGGGGAAAATAACTGAAATCTGTAACTAGAAGACTTATATCTGAATTATAATACTGTGTATAAAACAAAAGGGATAGCCAGTCAGTGTGGATGAATGGTTGAGCATTGACCTATGAACCAGGAGGTCAAGGATCAATTCCTGGTCAGGGCACACGCCCACGTTGTAGGTTCAATCTCCAGTGGGGGGCATGCAGGAGGCAGCCAATCAATGTTTCTCTCTCATCACTGATGTTTCTATCTTTCACTCCCTCTCTGAAATCAATAAAAATATATTTTAAAAGAAAATAAATAAAATAAAACAAAACAAAAGGGATGGTCTACATCAGTGATGGCGAACCTATGACACGCGTGTCAGAGGTGACACTCGAACTAATTTTTTTGGTTGATTTTTCTTTGTTAAATGGCATTTAAATATATAAAATAAATATCAAAAATATAAGTCTTTGTTTTACTATGGTTGCAAAGATCAAAAAATTTCTATATGTGGCACGGCACCAGAGTTAAGTTAGGGTTTTTCAAAATGCTGACACGCCGAGCTCAAAAGGTTCGCCATCACTGGTCTGCATGATGCTTTTAAAAGAGATGGAGGCAGACATGATCCATCAGCCTCTACTATCCCCAGTGGAGGTGCACTGACAGTGCGGACAAACCACTGACCGGAAATGGATAGAATCCATGATGCCTTTGATGTCACCTGTCATTAAATGCAACCAACTAACCCCCCCATCACGGAGTCACCATCTGGCTTTCCTTAAACATAATTTTGGTTTTGTCTTCTTGGGAGTGCTGCTATGATATCATCATGTTACTTGTCATAAAGTTAATCTGGCATTAAGGACCAATTAAAATGCAAGCAAAATAACTTTAATATTCTAAATAAAACAAACATGCCAACCACTATTCAAGGAGAACACTGATTTTACTAGTCTGCAATCTGAGTTTTAGAAATTCCAAAATTCCATTTGCTCTTTCCATTGTGAAACACAAGTTAGTTACCTCTCAGAGAAGCCATCGAAATCGGAAACCAGATCGCACATCCTGAGTCCACTCCGAGCAGCTTTGGAAGAATAAACGGGGCCGATGCCCTTTTTTGTGGTACCCAAACTTAAAAACAAACCAAAACAAGCGTTAAGTTAGACAAGATGCCATTCTTGTGGCCAGACAGGCTGCTTTCTGTTTATGCTGTTTCCTGTAAGTTTCTTTTCACAACCCTATTGATTTTCTCTGAAACCTAAACTAGCTATTTTAATGCTTATTTTTCTTCAGCCTACATTTGTATTATATAGAAGCTTATAGGGAACCTGCAGTTGGCCTAGAACTTAAGCATAAGGGTGTGGATATGCTTCACCTGCAGCAAAAACAAAAAACAAAGAAAAAAACCCCATACTTCTTTCCTGCTTGTTCTTGTCTCTGCTGTTCTTGGATGCCGTCAGCTGCTTGATGAAAATCAAACACTGCAGGGAAACAAAGCGAGAGCAGTTTTGTTGAAACAAAGATGATACAGCAAAGCAAACCATGTTGTATTTTAAATGACCGAAGCTATAAATGCCTTCAGTCGGACTTCAGTATGAGAAATTACGTACATTTTACGAAGCAGCAATAATGGTGGGAGTAAAGGTTCCAATGCCAACTGGTCTGTTAATATAAAAATAGGTCTGATCGACCATTCCTATTTATTGCAATCTATAGGATTTTAAAAATGAAGAGGGTAATTTTGGAACATCTACCCAACAATTCTTTTAAGCTCAGTTTACTAAGATATCTTCTTTTCTTCAAGTTCTGGGCTCCAGAAATCTAGGGATTGTTTTGACATCTCCCTCTCCCTCATTAGTCCCAATCCTCCCTCATCTTTCACCAAAACTGTGGCCTCCTAGTGAGTGTGCCTACTTCCTCTTGGACACCTCTAATTCATAATTTTTATGTAGCCAAAGCCAGCTTTCCAGGACACAAATATAATGTCACCATTCCTTTGCCTTAAAAAGTCAATGGCTTCCTATTGCTGAAAAAATGATATATCTGATGAAGGATTAACATCTAAAATATATAAAGAATAAAAATTTTTAAAAAGAACTCCTACAGCTCAACAGCAGAAAAATAAACAATCTGATGAAAACTGGGCAGAAGACCTGAACAGGCATTTCTCCAAAGAAAACGTACAGGTGGCCAACAGACATATGAAAAGGTGTTTTCATCACCAATCATCAGGAAAATGCAAATCAGGCCACATGAGCTATCACCTCACACCTGTGAGAAGGACTATCATCAAAAAGACAAATACCAAGTGCTGGTGAGGATGTGGAGATACGGGGACCTGCCCAGCTGGAGGAGTGTACACTGGTGCAGCCACTATGGAAAACAGTACAAAGGTTCCTCAAAAAACTAAACACAGAACTACCATAGGACCCAGCAATTCCATTTCTGGGCATTTCTCTGAAAAAAAAAAAAATCAAAAATGCTAATCCAAAATGATATATGCATCCTTATGTTCATTGCAGCATTATTTACAACAGCCAAGATAGAAAAGCAACCTAGGTGCCTATCAACAGATGAATGGATAAAGAAGATGGGGTATATGTGTACAATGGAATATTACTCAGCCATGAAAAAGAATAAAATCTTACCAACTACAACAACATGAATGGACCTAGAGTGTATTGTTCTAAGTGAAATAAGTCAGGCAGAGAAAGACAAAAATCATATGACTGCATTTTTTTTTTCACTTTCACATTTTATTTAAAGTGAACTTTTTTTTTTTTTTTTTTTTGCTTATGTGGAATCCGAAGGTCAAAACAAGCAAGCAAGCAAAACAAAACAGAAAGAAGCTCATATACGGAGACCAAACTGATGGTTGCCAGAGAAATTAGGTGAGAAGGTAAAGGAGATTAGGAGGTGCAAATTTCCAGTTATAAAAGTAAGTCACAGGGATGTACTGTATTGAGAATACAGTCAACAGTATTGTAATAACTGTACGGTGACACAGGGTTATTAGATTTGTCATGGTGATCACTTCATAAGTTATAAAGATGTTGAATCACTATGTGTACACCTGAACCAATATAATATTGTATGCCAGCTATACTTTAATAAAAAATTTACAAAACAAAACAAAAAAATAAAGTGTGCAATTTATTTATTATTTTTAATATATTTTTATTGATTTCAGAGAGGCAGGAAGAGGGAGAAGGAGAGAGAGACAGAAACATCAATGATGAGAGAGAATCACTGAGTGGCTGCCTCCTGCGCGCCCCATACTGGGATCAAGCCCGCAACCCGGGCGTGTGCCCTGACCGGGAATTGAGACATCACCTCCTGTTTCATAAGTCGACGTCCAACCACTAAGCCACAGCAGACAGGCTAAAATAACACATTTTAAAGCATACATATACATGGTGGGGCAAACATAGGTTTACAGTTGTGAGTAAATGAAACACAGTTTATTCTTGTATTATCATCAATTATTGTTATTTTTCCATATGGACAACTGTAAACCTACATTTGCCCCACCCTGTATTATTACACATATTATTACTAACATCTAACTTTCCTCCTCTACCTGAAAACTTTTCCTTTCAGGACATAAATTTATAAAAAAAGAAAAAATCATTACTAAAGAAATATAATAAAAATATAACATTAATTCGCATTTAAACCACACTACTTTCCAATTATTCTGGTCCTTTGGTCCGTTTGCACCACTATTTTCTTTGTTATTTCTAGTCTAAAGTAGCTAAGTAACTTGCTGAGCCACTGTACTATACCCAAGGATGCCAACTGTCATGTGACACACCCAGAACATCTATACGAGGAAGAAAGGCAGAGAATCCAGGCAGGGACACAAGTCACTCTTAACACAGTGTGACATCACTAGCATGCTTATATGTCCACCCATGGCCAAACTATCTGGTTATATACGTTAAGGCTATAATTTACTCCAAGGGCACACACTAGGAATCATCCTATTGTGCAATCCTACATTGTGGCGCTCAGGTTAAGATACTGAGTTCCACGCGGCAGCTGCCAGAGGACCATGAGAAAGTTCTGAAGATAAGCAGTGGCTTCCATCTTCTAACACAGAACCTCACTTATCCACAGGACAGAGGCAATGAACACAGAAAGCTACATGTAAAAACCATGAAGCGGAAAGAAGTTAACGAGGATGTAACAGAATATTCATGGTATCAGAATACGTACAAGGTAATAATTAGTGAGCGTAAGCAGATAAAAATAGTATAAAAGCAGTGAACAAAAATACATTTTTCATTACCTAAGAGACTGTCAGTATAAAAAAATATTAATAACACTACATTGGTTTCTTTATTAAAGCACTATAGTGATGATATATGGAAATATAAAACGAAATTACTAAGATAAGCTAATAACCAAAAGAATATGTTTTATATAGGTGACAGCTGAGAGTATGATTTTTTTAAGACCAGAAGCTTACAATAGCCAACAAAAATGACAGATTTACAGCTTCACTGCTTCCGCCCAAAAGGGTTTTAATTTGCTTTCTTGGCTGTACCTTAAGAACTTTGATGGGGCTGCCTCTTAAATGAAGGTCAATGTCAAAACTAGAGCAGCAACTGCCCCAGGAGAACTACATATTTAGGTAGAATTTAAGAATTCGATCACTCATATAAGTTTCTTACATGGCTTATAGTTCTTTCTCTTTCCTGGGTATTGTCTCTTAATTGTGTCACCGTTAATAAACAATTCTATCACTTCAGCAATAGGATGATAGGGAAACAAATCTCAAATTTATTGGTGGTGGCTGAATTAATTTTAGAATCCAGTTTGCTCTAAGCAATAGAAGAGAAGGCTGGTCTGAATAAAGGTTGAATCATTTAAAAAGCAGCATTATTACATTTGCGACACAAAGAGTCACTTGATTTGCCAGATGGTAGACCTACTTTTACGTGAGTATTAAGGTGTGGAAATAAATGCTCTCTGTATTTTGATATGCCTTATTTTTTAGTAGAATTAGAGAATCTCATGAAATATTGCTTATACTATTCATTTGACTAGCTAATTCTTCCTTCAGAAGTGGGTACATTTTAGACTAGCCCTTATAAAAAAACAAAAAAGAAGAAAAAAATTCATAAGACTTTATGTATTTGGAACCCAATTATTGCAATCCACCCAAATGAAGACAAAGTTGGTTACAGAATGCTTTGGTGTGATAAGTTTCTAGGAAAACGATAGTTAAAAATAAATGCATTATGCTTAGGTCCCCCTTACCAATATGCGCTCTGTCGGATATGATAAGCCTTTTTTCCCAGCCTTCCAGACCTAGAAGGAAGGGAGAAAATACATTTAACAGAACATTTTGTATAATAATTCTTTCATCTTAATTTCTTTAGAAACAGTGTTTAAAAGTGTTTTTCACTGAAGTAATCACTTTCATAGTTTTTCTTCTGCATAGGAAACATGTTTAACGAGAATTTTCTCACCTGTCATTCATTACATATACAAACTCATTCACACATTCTTTCTAAATGTTTTGCTCATAGAAGCTCCAAACACAGCCAGTTCTATCCACATAAAACACTTCTAGGAACCCAAACAGCAAATGGTAAAAAAAAAAAAAAAATGACATTTTTGTAGGAGTTGGGGGGAAGAGGAGTTAGTTGTAGAGCTGGGGGAGAATTGAGTAAACGGAGTTGCTAATCTTGGGGATGGCCCCCTTTCCCAAGACAATTATAAAAAAATGTGATTAAACAACATTATAAAATGTTCTCACTAATTCCTTCAAAGTATTACCAATTACTCTACTTAGTACACCGAACTGTAAATATATATCTCCCCATTTAACAGTGAATGCCTGAGGTTTCATAACATGGGCCAGTCATCCAATAAATGTTCAAAAAATTATTGAATGAGTAGGTAATAAAGGTATATAAATATTTTTTAATATTTTTATTTCAGAGAGGAAGGAAGAGGGAGAGAGAGAGAGAAACATTGATGAGAGAGAATCATTGATCAATTGCCTCCTGCACGCCCCACACTGGGGATCGAGCCTACAACCCAGGCATGTGCCCTGGCCAGGAATCAAACCGTGACCTCCTCATTCATAGTGACACTCAACCACTGGGCCACATTGGCTGGACAATAAATATATATTTTAAAGACAGTACACCTTTGTAGGTTATATACGTTTTAAGAATAAGCTACGTACCATACTCCAAACATTTTCAAAACTCATGTTAGATATTAAAAATTGTTCATTTTGATGATATCTAAGGATTTATTTTCAAATTATTCCTTATTGATTAGAGAGAAGGGCTTCTTGATAAGGTGCTATAAGCCAGAATAGGAAACCTTCCCCTCTACAGCTGGTTTTGACCTGAAAACATGCACTCTGAAGTTAGCTTAAGGAGTATTATAAAACATATATTACAAAGAAACTCAGAGCAGTGGATCCAGCTGGATTAGACAGGCCAGTGGGAGAAGAAAGTAGGGCGAAGCTTTCAGAGGACGGAGGAAAGCAGAGCGCAGCAGGGGAACCTCAGGCTGACCAATGAAAGAGCTGGCCCCAATACAGAGGCCAGAACCACAGGGAGGGCAACAGAGACGGCAGAGGCGGGGATCTGTGAAGCCAGACTGAGTTGTCTGAAACACTGGAGGACAGATTGCTACTTTTAAAGCTGAACAATGAACTTGAATGATGTAATAGAACTGGGTATTTCAAATTCGAGCTAAGCTAAAGAGAAACTCACTAATGATTTCCCCCAATTGTATATTATTTGCATTGCCAAGTTCCTCAAACCCTAGAAGGTAGCCAAGTTGACTTCCAAAAATCCAAAAGGGATTAGGAAAGACAGGAAATCAAGATGTTTTTAAGAAGATGGACGGATCCATAGCACAGAGGAGGATTTCTCTCATTTGGAAGGAGGGACCTCACAATCATCCTTTATCCCTGGGTTGTGGCAACCACGGAGCTAAAGTCTAGGAAACAAGACTGGCAGTGTGCACAGTGGCTTCGGTGGCTCCCTCACTGCCCTACGCTCATTTTTGGTTTGGGCAGAAGGATATGCTAACCTGAGTATAAACGACAAGATGAACTCACAGATTTCCTAGAGTTTTGCCAACAAGATACAGTAAGTAATTTTAGCTCCCTAAGGATAAAGTTTAATTTTTAAAATAACCAAGTCTTACACAATGACCTTATTATGTTTGTCATTTGTTTAAACATGGATTAGAATTGATAAAATTTAACGACGGAGATTAAACAACTTGTCCTCAATAACCTGCAACTTTAAAGTATAAGACAAAAATGTTAAGTGCCTGGCTTAGCCGGGATGGCTCAGCAGTTGAGCACTGACCTATGAACCAGGATATCATGGTTCAATTCCTGGTCAGGCCATACGCCCAGGTTGCAGGCTCAAGCCCCAGAGTGGAGTGTGCAAGAGGAAGCCAATCAGTGGTTCTCTCTCATCGCAGATGTTTCTATCCCTCCTCTCTCCCTCTTCCTTCCTCTCTGAAATCAATAAAAATATACTTTAAGAATATAAAAAATAAAAATAAATAAATGTTAAGTGGCTGGCATGAGATCCAAATAAAACTTTACCAAAAATAATAATAATAATAACTGGTTACCAAGCAAAGCAGACTCATTCTTTCATACCTTTTCCTTTTTTAACATTTTTTTCTGCTTCCTCAAATAATCCCGGTAGATGAATTACCACACCATTTCCTAAAGGAAAATAAACAAATTAATTCCAACCTTAAACATCTATACTTTATTAATACAGACATACATAATGATATTAAAATATAGACATCTACAATTACCCTTTATCTAGAACATAGGAGATTGAGGTACTTGAATTTACAGGACATTCTAATTTACCAAAGTGATATCACAGAAAGGATTCTAAGTTTTAGACAGTAGTATAATGTAAATAAACAAAAGAACATAAACACAGAATTAAAAAACACTAAAATTACACCCAATATAATTTAAAATTTCTTTGAAACAGTAAAACTGTTATTTTGGAAAAAAAAAAAACTAGTTATGTAGCTTTAGGCAAATTAAACCAGATCACAGTAGACTCTCTAGATCAATGTCTTTCAAATTGGGAATCACACTATTACTGTTAATAAAATCAATTTAGTGGGTTGTCATTAGCATTTTAAAAAATAAAAAACTAGAATAGAACATATCAGATTGCACTATATGTTCTAAGGGCTCAGAATCAATTTATAAAGCATAGATTTGTTTGCCTTATTGTGTCATGTTTGAAAAACTGATCTGATGACCTAATAGTTCTTTAGAGAATTAAGATTACCAATGAATACAGTTAAATGCAAAGCAATCATTCCAGAAAGTATTAGTGCTAAAAGATCTAAAAGAAATTGTAATATAGCCAAAGTTAGGTATATTCCAGAAGGTACCAAGGTCAAGATTAATCATTTGATTAGTGAAGGATGAAATCAGTTTGATAATGAAAAATGAACACTATTAGGAATTAGGGAGGAAAATTCTCAAGAGATTCATTCTATACTTACCAATGAATGCAGTAACATTTGGATTAATTATTCCACTGGGTAAAAGATGAAAATCATACTCCACGGAATCTACAACAACTGTGTGGCCGGCATTATTTCCTCCCTGAAACATATGATGGGAAATTGAACCTGACAATAAATATAACAAGTAATATATCTCCTTCCAAAGGAAATTAATGATTTCCTGCTAAAATGTCACTATCACTTAAGGAAACCCAAGCATTTGTCACAAAGACTAATTCTTTGGAGGATTTATAATAGTTTCGATCTCCTCTCTCCATTCCTCACTCCTGAAAACTGGAGAATTCAGGTTTCTGGAAGATGGGAAGACATGCCCTCTAAAAAGACCAAAAAAAAAAAAAAAGTGAAAAGACCACAGGGGACAATTCGTTTTTATTGTTTTGGGCACTCTCTATGTAGGACACGTAGTAATCTAATTAATTATCCATGGTATTCCAAAATAATCCCTAAAATAGAAAAGAGTAATCCATCCAGTTATCCTAACTTGATGTAAACATTCATACAACTCCCATGGTTCTAAGAGTGTCAAGCAACTTCGTGACCTGACATTTGTATTCTTACATGGACGTGTCAACTAGCAAATCTCCAAGTAACTACCTCAAATAGTGGCTATCCTGAGACTCAAACTTTTACATTTATAAGTCAGTCTTGTGGGTTTGGTTAGTAACAGATCCCCGGGATCTACTCATCTCTGGATAATGTAATACACTGGGTCAAAGGTCAAAGACCCTCTAAAGCTGGGAATCATACTGCCGACCCAGGGTGAAACTTCCCCTCTGTGAAGCTCAAGCCTAAACAGACAATTAAAGCACAATTTGAAGTCAAATGATAAAAATTAGGCACAAAGCAGACAATAGTAGGTGACCAGATAAATTTTCTAATTTCTAAGTTTAAAAAGAATGGAGAAAACACAAATCAATTAATTATAGCTTTAAACTTCTATACAATTTTTTTTTAATTTTAAAGTAAACCACATACTAGGAATATGTTTGCAACAAAAAGTTAGGCATTTTCATGGGACATTTTAAAAAATACCCATCAAAACAGTATCTCTGGAGAATGACTAGTCTAACTTGATCACAAGGCAATTTTTGCCAAAGTGAATGTTATTTACATTTTACTAAATCCTTACCAACCATGAGTTCAGAAAAATGGTCCTTCAAAAAAAAAGCCTATTTACACTGTTTGCACTGTACAAAGCAAAGAATCCCTGTTTGAAGGCTACTGTGTGTCATGTATGTTTAAAAACAAACAAAACACTTGACAGTGGTGACCTACAGTCTACAAGATGACAGGTGGGTGGCAAAACACAGGAAAACAGAAGCAGGAGTGTTAAGCAATACCTCCCTCACTGGATACCACCAGGGGTGCAGGTGAATACTTCTTACTATTTATTTTTAACAGGAAACATCTGCATGGGATACAAAGGCACAGAGATGCATAGTATTCCACCCGACCCTGCCCTAGTTCCCTGGACAAGGCAACCAGGTACCACAGGTTTTGTGTCCTCCCAGAGGTAATTTTGCAAATATGAACATATTTATATACTAGAGGCCCGGTGCACAAAATGTGTGCAGGGGTAGGGTCCCTACGCCTTGCCGATCAGGTTACCCGCCTCCCCGCCTCCTCCTTCCCTTGCTCCCTCAGTGCCCCACTGCTGCCACTGGTCACCCGCCATGTTCTGTGCCGCTCCCCGGTGGTCAGCACAAATCACAGTGAGCTACTGAACTCCCATTCTCCTGGTCAAACTCCCAAGGGAACCCTCTGCATATCAGCCTTTTATGTGTATAGACTAGAAGCCCGGTGCACAAAAATTTTTGCACGGGGGGTCGGGGGGCGGTGGGGGTCCCTCAGCCAGGCCTGTGCCCTCACGGTCTGGGACCCCTCAGGGGATGACCACCTGCTGGCTTAGGCCACTCCCCGGGGGATTGGGCCTAAGATGGCAATCAGACATCCTTCTGGCAGCCCGGCAGCCCTCAGGGGATGTCCACTTGCCAGCGGGGAGCAGGCCTAAACTGCAGTCAGACATCCTTAGCGCTGCTGAGGAGGCAGGAGAGGCTCCCACCACCACCACTGTGCTGGCAGCCATCAGCCTGGCTTGTGGCTGAACAGAGCTCCCCCTGTGGGAGCGCACTGACCACAAGGGAGGAGCTCC